GTTAATACTGTCATACCGTTTCCAGTAAATAAAATTTTTAAAGTATGCAAATTTACAGTAATTAGCTATGTAAATCTTTTTGCTCAGTACAAATATATTCTAAAGGCTTTCCAAAGAAATACATTCCCATTTGCTTTTTCAACTACCTCCTTCGACTTACATTCAGATTTTAACATCACTCCCATTAGAAAGACAATATCTGAAATCTGAAATATCTGAAATGAACTAGCAATGTTAAGCAAGATATTTGTGAAATGCTTAAACATTTTTTTAATTGGCTTCTTGACATTTAAGATCTCGAAGACACTGATTCAGAGAGCATTTGTCCAAGCATCTTAAGATTACAGTTGAATTTTATGAAATTTACTGTGCAGATAGTGATTTTTCTGAAACAATTGCATCAATACCTCTTATAAATGCAATTATCTATAGCAACTGCTCACTCTGAGATTTTCTTTTGCTTTTAAAGCATCTTACCAAGCATGAGGTAGGACATAGTACAGCATGGTAGACAAGAGGATTGCTGTGGTCAATCACAGCATGGACTCTAGTCTTAATTAGAAATAGCTAGTACAAATAAAATGACAGCTGTTTTCTAGCTGGAATAGAATCATAGAATCATAAAGATTACAAATGACCTCTAAGATTATCTAGTCTGACTATCAAACAATAGGTAAGACTATCTTAGCTGAGACTAAGTTATTTCCCAGTTTAAAACAACTAAACAATTTAAAACATTACAACTTGTGTCCTACTTGCAAGTAGAACTACTGTGGAAGGTCTCATGACTTGTTTGAGACCAAGACCTTAAGTTTATCTTCTTGTTACACTTAACTGTACCTCCTCCTTGCACTGCTGTTTTCACAAGCTAAGTTTAGGACTATAAAATGCTCAAAAATGCCATATAAGGTCACCTTCATTTCAAACAACTCTGAGGTAACAGGCCTCTCTGTGCCCTTATACTTTAGACTCTGTTCAGGAGAATTCCTGTGCTTTAAGAAAAGAATTTGCACAAATAAGCAATCTACTTGTGCTGGGAATCTGATCATGCCCAATAAATAAAGATTGCATTTTCTCACTGGTGGCTCCGTCTGCTTTCAGAATAAATCAAGGTTTGTGTTTATACACAAAGAGAAAAACATACACTCCCATTTAGACAAACTATTTTTAAGTAAGGAGAGCAACAGAGGACTTTCAAAGAAAAAAAACAACACAACACGTTTGGCTATTACACAGACCACTTCTGTCTCATCAGAATGATATATCTTTTAATCTTCACAGAAAAAGAATTTAGATAAATGAGACAGAATAGGGAGTATTTTCAGAAAATGAAAGCTCAAACACCTGATGAACTCATTTTAAATTTCCTGTTTGGAGTGGTAAATCTGTAAGGATCACCTGTGTGGTAACACCCTATGGAGTAACTTTTTGGGAATATTTTCTCCTTTGCCCACAATGCCACTTATTGAACAGTGTACAGTACTGCCTAAGTTGGGCAACAGCCTTCACCCCCATCAAGCACTAACGCATTTTGTTATATGCTTGCCCTGCAACAGAGCAATAAGCAATAATTATACATATTATATACATGTATATATATATATACATTATACATATAATACATGTTTCTTCCAAGCCAGCACAGCTATATTCACCAAACTGCATTTTCTGATTACTTTACCAGAAAGAGAGGAAAAAAAAAGAAGTGCAACATGAAAAAAAACCACCAACATTGCAAGGCAAATATTCAAAATGGGTCACTGATGAGTAGAAGTCCAGCTTGAAACAAGGCTGGGTCCTAATTTCCATTAGTTTTCAGAATATGAAAGATAAAATCAAAGGGCATATTGCATATTCTGACTTTTACAGCTACAGTGCAAGTTTCAATACCTCAGCTTCAAAATAGAGCTAGAGACACAGCAGACTGCATAATTCAGAACATCTCAGAACCCCGGCAAATTCCTCTGCCTCTCAAAATTTCAGCACTGCAGCCAAGCATGAGGAGCAAGTCACAAAACAAACATCATCAAGAAATATGTCCTTTTCTTCCACATGAGAATGTCCATGGTAAGAGAGTACCATGCTCTCACACATTTAAAATGTCTGCGTTAGCGTTAAGAGTTATGCCATCCTCTGGTCAATGTAGAAATACTAATAGCTTTTTACAAACCTATTTCCTATTCATTTAGGACAATCTCAGTCATATATACCTTTAAGCCAAAGTTACACTGGGAGATCTCCATGAATCACTTCTTTCTTATTTATCATTTCAAATATTCTCTCTACTTATTTCTTCTAAGAAAATATCACAACTCAGCCTCTGGAAATTATTTATCTCTGCAATATTTTGGTTCTTTCACTACTACCTTTTTGTGACTAGAATGACTCACTTCTGGCTCAATTATTAGTGTTGACTGGACCCTCTCTCCATCCTAAAAACAGAAACAGGCAGAGGTGTTTTTGGAATCCTTGGCTTTGTTGCTAGCCCTTCCCCACTACCCCGGCAGAGCCAAGGGGAAATCCTGGGCAGCACTGAGCCAGCTCCTGGAGCCCTGTGCCACCACAGCACATGCATGCACATAACTTCCAGTGCACACAGTTTGGTCACAGTGTTCAGCTTTCTGTGACCCAGTAAAAATCCTCTTGAAGTGAAAAGAACTTTCATTTCTGCATTGATTACAGGGTGTCAAGATCTTTGTGAAAATTTGATGGTCTAGTTTTCCTTGTCCATTCTACTGACCAGAGTGAGTAACCTACGATATCAGAAAGCTGGATAAGATGCAAACTAGTGCACTTGATAAATACACTGACAAATACAGAAACACGTAAACTCATGTCAACCATTTTGTCTTTCGAAAGAGAGTCCCTCCTCCTCCCCCCCACTGAGGCCTCAAGAAGAATGAGCTGCCTATCCTCCACTTTGAGTGTAATCCTACATATAAAGACTCCCTCCTTTAGCAAACAACAACACTGCTTCAAAACTGTGCAAGAGACCAGTGCAGAACCCTACCACATTCCTTTCTCTGTCTTTGTGTTCCAGGTTCATGGAACTACCACCATGATGACAGAAGAATTCAGTGTGAATGTGTAGCATAGCAGAGTGATGTTTCATTATGAAAAATCAGTCTCCACATCATTTGGACAACCCTGTTGTCAGCTTTCTGTTTGGTGAAATACAACTCATGCAGCATAGTCTCACATTATAAAACCATGTGTATTGCATACACGTGTTCTTCTTTCAAAAGTAATATTTGCTATTTCACTTGGTTCTCACAATAGGTTCAGAAATACTTTGTACTTGAAAATATACCTTATACAGTAAGACTGAACACGGATTGCATAGGGTGTGAAACCATTGAGTACCTGAACACAAGCTGTGCTTTTAAGAAGTTGTTATTATTCAGCAGGTTTAATTCTCCAACAGTCATTCATGGAAGCAAGATTTATATGATCATTTGAGTATATTCACACTTTACTGAGAAATTCCTTCCACGCTTACTCTTTTACACATACATGTTTCTGAAATAGTTCGGAATAATGTTGCACTTATCTCTTTTTCAATCGGTATCCTTCTGTGACTTCATATTCTCTGAAGTCTAGGCAATGGCTTGGAATTAGATGTTTTTAAGGCTGTAAGGCTGTAATTCTGCCAATTTTACTGTCTATAATTGTTTAATTTCAGATACAATGTCACTGATGTCAAGGAGACTAGTTGCAGGGTAATGTACAATATCCATTGGCAGTAAGGATGACAGATTTGGGTCCTGACTGCTTTCCTCAAGAGGGTTTACTGCAATGAAGATATTTTTGTTTGACGGGTTTATTGTTTTAGATGTAATAATTTACGATACTAATGCACTCATCCCCTGCAGTCCCACACTATGGATTCAAAATCCATATGGACTGAAGTTCATCAAGAAAGTATAATGGATTTCTCAACATGCTGTGTTTACATACCACTTTGTTTTCAGCATGGAAAACACATTATGCCTGTGCAGAAGACTAAAAACATTGACTTTGTTATTTTGTATAACAGAAGGATCTCCAGATATGTACCTGTCTTCTTAATTTATCTTAATTAATCTTCTTTAATTTATAAATTGTTCAACTGAACGTTATAAAGTTTAAAGACATTAACTGCAGGATTAGGGATATTCAGACAAACATTTGAGAACTGACAAGATGAAAGGTGTCCCATTAAATATATAAATAGAAACATTAATATACAACACAAAATTATAAACAATTCATTTTCAGTAATAAGCTGGGAATTCATGTATTATCATTCTATTTTGATGCTAGTCACAGGTATCACATTATCAATCTGCTTCATCTTAATCTGTGGAAGGCATTCTGTGATACAGCATTAATATTTGCTTCCAGGAATTAGCAAAAACTTAATGATTACAATGACAGAGAAAAATATTTCGATAGGTATTGATTTCATGTAGAATAAATATTGATTACAATAGAATAAATGATAAATCGATTAAAATTCAACAACTGTCATAATGCTTTATCTCAAGCTCTTAAACTATTAGTGACCATGGCAAAAATAATGTATAAGCAAATGATAAGAAACCAGATCGCATAGATTTTAGAATTACTGTAGATGTTCCTGTGTTCCTGACTAAATCATAGTGAGTATAAACAAACACGTTGTCTTTCTTTCTGTCAAACATGAGAGATTTCATCACTGTCTTCCACTTGTGAGGCTGGAAGACAGAGGAAAGCTAAAGTTCTTGAAAGGTATTTCAGGATTATTAATCATGTTTTCAATAGAAATCATTTTTCAGAAATCTCCATATCTCTCCTCTGTAACTCAGGTAATTGAGAGTTCTTAAAAAATTCCAGTTTGAAAATATGTAGAAGAAAGTTGTTTCCTTAATATTTCCTGGCTTCCAATGGATTGTTAATAAATATATAAAATAAGTCACATGCTGACCATGTGCAGCTTATAAACAGTAAATGAATGATTATTGTTACTCTGTTTTCCTTACCTCCTTTTTTAGGATGTCTCAAGGGACTTGACTGATGGTCTGTGATTGACTGAGATTGGCTAATTAATTGTGAATCACTCATTTTGAACGTATTTTTTACAGTAAAGGAAGAAGCAGCAATCTCATCCCAATCCTTCTGGAATAAAGAAAGCTGTTTTAGGCATTCAAGAAACATGCTGATTTCACTCTGCCATGATAACTTATAGCTGTGATCTCACAGAGAGCAACTTTGTATTCTTCACAACTCTTTGAGAAATGACTAATGTGAAATTAAAGTTACACAAGATTCTTGTGGCTTTCAGCACTACTGGCTTAGCATCCATGTCACAAACATTTGTTTATTTTTCCATTTAACTTATTTATCCCCTTTCCTCATGCAGTTAAATCGTAGCATGCACTGTATGCTGATTTCCTCTCATAGTTAATTTGTATCTTTAGAAAAAAGCTATAGGAAGGTATTAATCTGCTTAACATTTCTAAGTACATCATCCAAGGGATTTTGTTTTTTTAATCTTACATATGCTCAGCAGAGTTACTGGCAAAAACTGTACATTTTCTCCATTTCATCCTTTCAACATCAAATGGTAAGCAGCAAAAATTGGATCAGACTTCAAAGACTATGCTGTGCTCCAAGTCACAGAGCGACTCCTCCATTTCACATATTGAATTCGAGCAGGATATCAAAGTGCTACCAAAGAACCTCAGGTCCTTACTAAAAAAGAGGCTCTAACATCTGTAGAAAGTGAAGTGCACAGACAAATCACCTCAGGGAGCTGCTAGCATTTATTCTCAGCAGCAAATTTCCAGCCTTTTGATTCTCTTATTCGCTGTACCTCCCTGTCTTTCTACAGAACTAAAGTTCTTAGCAAGCAGGCTTTTGTCTCAAAGACTTCAAAACATTACTAACGGTTTCATGTTCGGATGGTGATGCCAAGCAGCCATGAACACACTGCAGAACTGAGGACTCAGGAATTTGAAGTTACAATGCAACGCTATTTTAGAATACAAACTTAGCAGTACCTTTTTTGTTTGTTTGTCAAGAAAATCAGGCACGACAGGAGAAGACTGGTTACTTGTTTGCTGCCTAAAAGCAAGATTAAAAAAAAAGGTAGTTAAAATATTGTAATTTCTTCATTCTCATAAAAGGCTCACTGGCATTGTTGACGCTCTTCCCCTTTCCCCCTCCCCCAGACACTAACTATGCACATATGATCAACTCAGAGAAAACACAGACCGGTCCCATTTCCTTTTATAAGGAAGTGCATGTTATTAAACACGGTAACTGGCTATGAGCAATAAATTTGTCATTAAAAAAATGTGGATATGTGTATGTGAAAAGTGAGTTTATGAGGATTCTATGAGATTGAAGTAACTTGTTAAAATTAATTTTACAAGATTTAACGTGAGATTTTTTTTTCCTTTAGAGGCTGTGAAGATCCGTTTTTCACACAGAAATTCAAACTTGTTCTCTCAGGAAATTTGACAAAGAAGGAAGAAGTGAGACAAATGGCTTCATGCTCCCCTAAAACTGTTTGGGTTAAGTAACAGTTCTTACATTAACTTTGTCTGTACCTTTTATTATTTTACCATACAAATATTAAAGGTCAATTTCTCCTCTCATTAAAGCTAATAGAAGTATCATAAAATCTTCTGTAAGCTCTGCTGCTTGTTGGCAGACCTTTGAAGTAAATAGATCTTCTCAATCCTAAATTCTATCCAGAAAAAAACTTTGCTCCAGAATCTTTAGTCATGCAAAATCAAAAAAATATTCTACCAATTTCTTTGAAGAGATAACAAAACTGAGGTTTGTAAAGATTATTTGATAAGCTCACGGTCCTATAACTGGGATTAAAAGCAAGACTTTCTATTTGTCAAAACTTGCCTCAGCCATTACATCATTAATCACCAGCACTGTCACAATCTTTCTGAAAATACAGTCAACTGCAGTTGTATTTCGATGGAAACACATGGAATGTAAGCTTCAGTCATAGATTTCAGATTATGACATACATCATGTATTTTTTTTCATGGATGGCAAAAGGCTTTTTCAGGCAGTAAGCTTTTTCAGTTTAACTTCTATTTATTACAACTGAACACCTTTCCGCCTTTTCAGTCACAGTGGGAAGAGGAAATAAAAAGGACAAAAATTGCTTTACTGAGTAAAAGAAAATACAATTTATGTTACCTCAAATTTCATTTTTGTCATTACTTATACGCTGAATATAAGAGACTCATATAAAAATAGAACAACACATTGAACTCTAAAAAATTGTCTGGACACATGCTCAATTTACCTTTTAAAATGTAGCTTCTAAAAACACTCCAAACTGAAATGACATGACTGAGGACTTGAAACATTCTAGACTATTAGCTATTGGATATGAGAACAGTATATCACCACATGCATGCATCAGCTGATATGTTTATTCTAGGATATCCACAGAGCTTACTGAAATATTTAAAGCCTTATATTGCAATAGAGTTTAGGCTTTTAGATTAATTTTGTCTGAATGTGTTATGAAAGCTCGAGGGGTTGCTTGAATTGTTTCAGACTTGATCACACCAATAAAGACAGTATCACAGTAGTCAAAAAGCTATTTTGGTAAGAGCGGAAATAATAGGAAGTATCCATGGACATGGACATAGCAAACATCAAGTTTTCCTGGAATGTTGAAATTTTGTGAATGAAGTTCGGATTTGCTTGTTGGGTTTGAGGCTTTTCTTTTTCCATTATTCACTGACGTTATGAAAGTAAAGGAAAATATTCTGACTAAGCTGTAATTCATATTTAATGTTGTTTTTCTAAGGATGGAGGGATCCATTTTGAAAACACACTCTAATTTGTACTGGGACACCTCTTATACCGAAAAGAATAAAAATTTTTGAGGACTGTATTTGGCCTTGCATTTGAACATGTAGCACATTGTCTGTAATGTTCTTTTTTGCTGTTTCACTTGTATGTATTCTCTTATACTTAAATAACTACTTAGCAGGATTATTTAGATAACTCGCTGATTTCTTTCAAAATTACTCAAGCATTTATTGAGATGATTCTTCTCCACCTCCCCACACTGAGGAAAATATACCCAATATAATCTAGAAATAATGAATAAACCTCAATTATTTCTATAAGGATGTCAAAATCAAAATCTGCTCTAGAATCAGTATGTTGTAAATGGACCAAATTGCAAAATAGAAACAAATCATGATCTAAATTCAATATTTCTGGTTTTGGGGTGTTTTCGATCTGGATCTAAATTTGCAGCTTGGATTAATCTCTACATTCTATAAATAATCTAGAGTTTAGTATGGTTTTGCCAGCACTTCTGCTTTGCAAGAGCTATAGCATTATCCAAATGTTTAAAACATGAAGGTTAAGTTCAGCAATTTGCCTTCTCTACATCATAAGCTAACAAAAATCAACCTCTGGAATTTTGAAGCCTTAGAATCTTGATTTTCTATCAGGATCCCAATGACATCATGTTTTTCACAACCAACCAGAAAGCCACATGATGTGTAATTCTGCATTTCTGCATGATAAACTCTGCAAGAGAACCTTTGGGGATGTTCAGGAATGCATCAGTAATGTGCAGTAGTAAGAACAGCCAGTAGTTTCCTGTGTTGTATTATATGATCCTCACTTTCTTTATCTATGGTCAAACTGCAACAGCATGTACGCTTAAATTCTGTCCACAGACAAGCCTTCTATGACTTTTGTTGGGTTCCATTAGAGTTACAGAAGCACTGGAGAAGATGCAAAAGTCTTTAAGTCCTGAGTACTTTTAATGGTACATTAAAATAACTGAATTGAAATAAAATACAAGTTCTTGCTCAAGAACATACTAAAGGAGATCAGATCATTGACCCCATAAACTCAGTGGCAAATAGGAAATTACATAGAACCAGAGAGCACTTGTTTTCACTTGGTAGAAGATAATGCAGAGATATGGATGCTGTTTCCAGAGATTAATTCAAATTAAGACAATTCAAATGCAACATAAATGCAGTTCAGCATCAGCTAGTTCATATGAGTGATTGGGTGTTGGTGGCTAACATCTGAAAATGTGGCACCTGAGGATGTGCAGGATATTTTCAGGTATCTTTGATGAAACTATTTTCACTATGGTGAAAAAAAAATTTTTACTTGCCACATTTGCAAGACAGCAGTGTTTGGGTCAAACAGATGACCCAAATGTCAGCACATTTACCTGGAAAGTTCACAAGAGATCCAGCTTCGTGTGCCTGGTTTTAATCAGGCAAAACAGAAATTTGCTGCTGAATATTCACCTAAACTGTCATACCCATGTAGTTTTTCCACTTTATCATCCTACTAAGTCTAAGTCTCATCTGAATGTAAAGAGTTTTACTAAAATAAAAACTGTATGAGGACACACATGCTGACCAGTCAAAGCTTTGACTAGCTATGTAGAGAAAGCTGTAGGAGAAAAGTCACAACGATTGTGAGTCAAGAAAAGTAATATTGATATATTGATGTCCATCCAAGTGCCATTTTCCTCTAAGCACTTTGAAATTCATAACATAGCATTTTTTTAGTGTTTTATACACATTATAGTACTGGAACTTTTTTTTTCTTTTTTTTTCTTTCTTAATAGATCTTTGAAAAAGTAACAGGCTGTTATATATCCTGTGCATACAACAGAAAAGATCTTTATGTGATTTTCCTTTTGTATCCTGAACACTTTTCAGCTCCTTTTATATTTTTCAAAACTACTAACTAGAAAGCAAAAGAAATGAAAAGAAATGAAAGGAAATGAAATGCAAAGAATATTTTATTATTCAACAAATCAGTTCAATGGTATGTGAAGCCACAGTGAGGTTGCCTTGTCTAGAGATAGATTACAAGGTGCTGTGTTAAACATCTGCACTATTATTCACCACTATTTCTTACAAGTTTTTTATATGACTGAACAGCCATGCACTAAAACACAAAACCCCCAAACAGCTACCTGTAGAAGAGAGCCTTGATTTATGGGAAGGAAGTTATCAGATTTAGTCCTAAGATTCTGAACATCACCTGTGAAATGCTCAACATTTTCAAGTCTCACTGAAGTCACTGGAACCTGAGGCCACTGTAGGGAAATTGTATAGGATTAGGCAAATAAGCTGGAAAATTTGTTGGGTTTTAAACTGAGAATTGCCAGTAGTAGTGGCAATTTAGCAGCTCCAGGCAAAAAAGGTACGAGTTTTATTACCTGATTGTGTACAGCAATCAGGAGTGCATGCAAGAACTGAATAGCGAATGTTTTTTATGTGGGCATCTTCAACCTAAATATTTAAAGGCATTTAAACACTGATTTCAATATAAATTCATTGTCTGAATACTTTTGGAAATCTGTATCTTTGTGCTCCATGAAGCCCAAATTCACCTCAACAGCTACAGATCCATAAAATGCTAATGAGCCTCAAGGGATGTACAGTTGAGAAAACTGTATCTAATCCACAAAGATACATTAGGAAAGCAACCAGGAATTCCGGAAACAATCTAATGTAGAAAGGGAAGAAAATATACAAAACAGATGAAGAAAAGTTTAAAGAGGTTGTGAGCCTCCAAGCAAGTTCAGGTGAAAGCTTCAAAACACTGAATAAGACAAAATACTTATTTACATTGTATTTTAATTTTAATTTGGGTTGCCAGACAGAATTGACAACAGACAGGTTATAGGCTCTGTCTTAATGCCATTGGTGCAGACTGGAGAGCAAATAGCTATGAATAGTTCTAAAGAGATCACAAGATAGTTCCCCTCTTAAATACCTAACAGACAGAGGCTGCTGCACACACATGAAAGGAAAGCAGAATCACAAAACATGTTGACTCTGTAAGCTGTGAGGAGACCAAAGGACAGAGATATGACAGTAAACTGTAGTGTGTCCATTCTTTTCCCTGAATAACATTACCTTTTTTTTTTTTTTTTTTTTTGTCCTTTTCCACCAGCCTGAGCCTTGTTTATTTATTCATTTATTTATTCTGAAATCAGACTACTGCAAGGGAGACACTCTGGAATATTATTAACCTGAAAGGATGCAGGTGATTACACCTGGACAAAATCATTTCATGCATTGAAGCATTTAGCAGACATTATTCAATATAAAAAAAACTAAGTTCACAAGGAAATTAATGTAACTCAGTGTTCTGAAAATACGCAGAGAAAGCTGAAATACTTTCTCAGAGGAAGAGTCAGTGTAATTAAAAAAATCATAACAACAACAAAAACAACAAAGCAACTTTCTCAATGGATTAATAGTATCTAGTTGCATTCAAGCAAGTCACTGATTTCATCAAAGAACTCATAAGAGGTGTAGCAGGACCTGCATTTGTGTGCTGTGTAGAAAGACTATAAATTAACAGAAATAAGAACTGGGATAAGAACTGAGATTTCCTGATGTCTATTCCTCAGCAGGGGGCATCTCATAGCTCTTAGTCACCAAGATCTGCTGATCAAAGGGATTCCTTCAGCCAGCACCTCTCCTACAACACTGTAGGAGAGACAGACAAATAATAGGTGAAGCAGTTCCCTTCTCTATGCAAGAAAGAGCAGGGCAATATTTGACTGAAATGACTCCTCTAGTAAGGAAGATCAAAATATTTTTCCTCTACAAAGAAGGAGGCACCACTATTAAGGTTTACAGCATGCCTAGGCTGTCAGTGACTTGGCCATCTCCTTTTTGCAAGTCTTTTCCCTCATTACAATTCTGCATGGAGCTCTACAGACAGAAAAGGGTACACTTCTACTCTCGAAAATCATGCATTGCAGCCAGTTCTGAAATGCTGTCTGTGGTTAGGGGTATTCTGTGTACTTCTGAGAAGACATCAATCCAGGGCAAACAGTACTTCAAATAAATCTCACTTCTTTACCTGGGAGAATAGTGAGATGACTATGCTGGTGGGGGGACTGCTTAACCTACAGGTGATCATCTTCAGAAAATGGCAAGCTCCTTAAGCGCCAGCTGAGTCATAATGACATGTCTGCTCCTTTCAGATTTTACTGTGTGCAAAATCACTTCTGTAGATAACAGACAGGAAAGGATTCAACTCACCAGTGCTCTTCACAGTCAATATCAGAAGTAGAGCAGCTGCTCATACGTTGAGAATCTGCTACACAGCCAGTGCTCTTCTTCAGTCTTGGGTAGTTTTTGCGAACAATATATCCCCTGAAAGCTAAAAAAAATAGTTACGAATCAGAGAAAAACTCTGCAGAACCTGAAACACAAACTGGCATTTGTCTCTGGAGTCCAGAGCTGAATGCTCTACTACTGGAACATCTAAAATCTGGATTAATGTTGTATGGGATGTAGGATATGGGTTGTGGGACACAGAGCAACCTCATGCAGGATTAAAATAACAGTGTAGTTAACACTGATCTCAGCTGCTACTCTTTCCATAGGATGTAATGTAATCAATCCCTTTTCTATTTTAATTCGTGATAATGACTTTCTTTCCAGCCATCACAAAAATGTGCATTTCTGCACTTTTATGTGCAATATACAAAAAAAAAAAAAAGCATCCTAACCATTCAAGCTGTGGTATGCAATGCACCATAACAATCTAACATTTTCAATGCTACTGATGTTTCCAGTGTAAGAAGCAGCAAAATTTGCCTTTTAATGAGAGATTACTAAAATAAATAACCATTCCCTTTACAGAAGGCATGACAGAAGCTGAGCCTGCTGAGGTGCTGTTCTGAATACAGAGCTCAGGTACCATGAGGCTGAGCAACTTTCCACCCTTAATAATGAGACTGGAAAAGTCTGCCTATCTGGCAAAGATGAGGTGAGCGCTTTCTTGCCCCATGTGATCAGGCTTCCAATTCTTAACTATCCCCCACTGACCAGACAAGGAACCTACTCTGCTATTGGCAGCAAAGACAGCTGGCTGGCAGCCACCTTTCTGCAGCTCAAACACGCTGAGCAGCAGTCAGTATATGGACTACTGTAAAGATAAAGATGCACTGAAATAAATGAACTAGTAAGATAAGCATCATTTTTCTCTCTAGTAATTTCACAGCTTTCAGCAGTTGCTTTGCAAGTGTGTGTGCATGTGTGTGCATAAAACCACCCTCATACCTCTACGATTTTTTTCTGCCAGATACTTACTAATGACAGTATAACTATTTTTTGTCTTTCCCTCATTCACTACACACAATCCTCTTTATTTCATTTTGCAAACTTCATTTTTACTCTGAATTCTGTTTTCATAAATAATTTCAGGATCAAATCCTCTTCAACGGAAACCTTTCTTAAGCTGGCTTCTAACATTCTTCTAGAATATCTCTGATCTTACAGGTAAATGACTGTGCTTATCCTGCTTTCCCATTGACTCACAGGACAACTGAAGCAGAAGAGTAAACAAACATTTTTCTGTCTCACAAGCTTCATCGAGAATTAGTAGAACTGCATCTTTTCAGCATTTATTAACTGGATCTATAACGTTTCAAAGGAAATGCATATGCGGAGAATTCTACTGGGGGAGCCAGAGAGGTTGGGAAGCTGTTCCATCATGGCAATTTGCATTACTGACTGGTGCTGGTTTTGACACTAAGCACTTGGCTCAAAGAGTGTGAAATTAGCAGACTCGTTGCTAGTGCTCCACGAACAATCACTGCATCATTGAAGAAGAATGATTACCAGCTGTCACCTCATTTTCACCTTATGCATTCTATATTCCAAACTTTACAGCAACAGTATCTCTAACCCTGATCTTTACAAAACCAACGATAGCAGGACCTAAACTCAAAGCAACTTAGGAACATAGGAATTTTAGAACTTTTATCTTAATAGCTAACTTATTAGAGCTAAGCATTTTCTGTGACACCACTGAGGACACGACTTTTTACACTAATTTTGACTCAAAGTGATCACTCTGCCAGTTCCAGCATGCAGCAAACAAAGAACATATTTACCACAGGGAGCCTGAGATTTGGCATACTGCAGTTAAAAATCTTTATTTTAAGGTCTAAGCACTGAGGCATTTACACTGCATGCAAAGTTACACAATTCCAAATAGCAAAAATCCAAGCATTTTCCCTCTTATTCCTATTGGAAATATACAGTTACAGACTGAGTTGTGAAGCACAATGTAGAAAGATCAAAGCTAAATAATCATAGGTCTGCACCTGAGGCACGAAGAAAGGAGATGAAGTACTATTTTAAAACAGCAGAGGGATTCATTCTCAGTTGTAAGAAATCTTGTTCAAAAATATTTCTATATACACATATTTTTAAGATATAACTTAAAATAGTACATAAGAACAACTTTCGAACAGAAAGCTCATGTTTGCTAAATAGAAGGTGTCATGATTGTTTGTAATCAGAAATTTGCTACAAACAGCATATGACCTTCTTAATTTGCCTAGATAAAAGAGCATTCAGCAGCTTAACTACCAACATCTGAGGTGATTTGGAGCCCATAAATCTGATTTTTTGCTTCATGCCAAATTAATTCCACTGAACAGTAAAAAAGATAGGAAGTCATGTCCTTTGCTAAGTCCCATGAATACTTCCCCTCTTTCACCTCTCAGTCTGGATGGATCTTGGGTGATGAATGCTTAGTAACAGGAAAAATAACTGATGTCCTATATTCTCTGGCAGAAGCATTACAAGAAAGCAGGCCTCGTTACTGATGCACATCATCACTTTGATGTATGGATTTTAATTTTTGTGCATTGCACTAAAAAGTCCTATCTCGAGACTTGGTGAAAAAAAAGAAGTGTGGATGACTCTGAAACTGATTATCAACATCAGTAATGACAAGAAAGAAGTATTCCCAGATCTCTTGTCCCTTCCTGATTTTACCAAGGGTATGAATGGACAGGAGAAAAAAAAAGAAATACAAAAAAAAAGTAGAATTATTCACACAAATATTAGCTCAGAGACAGAGATAAAATACAAGACCTCATCCTTCAAAAAACTATTAAGGCCATCTCACTTTTGTTAACATGCTCCCTGCATATGAGCAGCAGGTTTTTAATGGTTACTTGGTGTACTAGAAGTGAAGACTGACTGAATTGCCTAAACTGGTACAGAACATAAGGAGACGGAGAAGTAAAGTTAAGTAAGGCTGTGCAGCCTCTACAAATACATCTGAATGTGAAATCAAGGTAATACAATGACTCAGCTCAGCTACCATTAAAAGAAACGTATCTCTTCAGAGGTTCTTATCCTGAGAATGCTGCTAAAAGAAGATGAATGACACAAAATAAAGCTGTATCTGTTACTTACTGCTTGTTGTTTTCAGGAATGATAAAAAATAGATGCGTTTCTAGATATAATAATGATGTGCTTAGCAGTATTTGGAACATTATTCACATAATTCATATAACTTTACAAGATTACTTGCTGGATACATGTAGACGCACATACATACAAATTGACAGAAAAAATAGGGTTTTCAAGAAATGCTTCCTTTGCTGAAAAAAATCCTGAAGGTAAAATTTTTATTAAAAACTTACAGTTATTATAAATATGAAATAGTGCATTCCAGCTGTTCTCAAGCATTTAAAATAATAATAATAATAATAAAAATAAATTTCACCTGAAGCCCAGGAAAGGTATGCAATTAGTGAGATATGCAAACACTGCATGGGAAGAAGTTATAGAAAGCATTTTGCAATATGTTTTTTTCATCTTATTTCCTTCTGAACATACATCCCCTTTTTTTTTAAAAAAAAAAAAAAAACTTTTTTTTTTTTAAAAAAAAAAAAAAAAAGGAAAAGAAAAGAAAAAGGAAAAAAAAAGAAAAATAAAGAGTTGGGTTCTGCTCTTTTTTCTTGAGTTCTTGATAAAGAATTTTCCAATACAATGTGACATATGGTGAGTGTGTGAGCACGTGTTGGAGGAGGAGATGGTGGCTCAATGGATTAGTCATTTGCCTTTCACCTCTGGAAGCATAGTTAAACTCAGTCCTGACCAGAGTTGCACAGTATATTCCAGATGGCTAAAGTGGGCCTAATTAAAATGAATTCAGTGATGTCACCTCAGATCTAAGTGAATTGCATGCACCACTCATTTGGCATTTTGGCAACATCACCTCACAAATGAAATAAACAGGATTAAAATCCTCCTTTAAGACTTTAGGGACAAGGGTCACTCCACATAGAAATACGTGTTTTCTTAACTAGACTATGTATCGTTGTAATTCTATTATCTGTTTGTTATATGTATTGTTTTCTTTTTAATTCTAATTAATGCTTCCCTGTAATACAAAGAAACATTAAATGAGACTTGCATGTGAGACACACCAGTAGAGCAACATTTCAGTCAGATGATTCAATGCTCATACACTGATTTACACCAGGTGTGAATCAGGCAAAAAAATTTTCTAAAATAATTTAATAAAATCTTTTTCATTATGCTTAGACATAAATCCAAAGAATTTAAATCCCAATTACAAAGAAATACTTACACCAAAGTGCAAAGAGTTACTAATGTGAAAACTTTACACGAAATAATTCTTCACAGCTCCTCTCCAAATTAAAAACTGCCTCAACAATACAGTTCGGGAAAGCTGGACGGAGGAAATAAGAAAGGACTTGTGTAACCTGTGTACCATTTCTCATCTCATAAACTCTGTACATTCTGAAAATCTGTAGTGTGGATATGCTGAAGTAAGGCAGCTTTTTCTTCCTCGGCTAATTTAAATTCACAAATATTTTGTCTACTAGCTAGAGTGTTTCCCTTATCTGAAATAATGACCATTTTTTTGTGTAATATTATACACTCAGGAAATGTATCCCCAAGTATATTGTGAAGGGTTTTTTTTTTCTAAGTTTGTTTTTTCTTTCAACATTTCATCAATGGATAGCAAACTGCTGGGCCCACAGAGATCTCCAGACCACCAGCTCATGTATTTGAAAGGCATCTGTTTATTTTTAAAATGCAAATGTAGCCTACCTCAAAGACTGACTTGCAAGAAATGAACAATCTGAACAAGTCAAGAGGTTTCCAATCAGGAGCTGTGTTCCTCCTTTATATCAGGCTATGATCACTTGCTGTCAAAACCACTTAAACAATATCCTGGAATCTGAATGAAGTCCCCCCACAATTAAAATGAGCAGGATAATCCTGCAAGAATTATTCAGGCAAATCATTTTTCACACAGTTTAAAGTAATGATAAGGTCATTTACAAAAGAAATCAGCGCCTTTGAAATGCTGACTTGTAGACAGAGGACTGCCTGGAGGAGGGCCATAGATAACAGTGAAGACTGGCCTCCTAACACTACCCTCGCAGTCTTTGGAACTGATTCTGATGAAGAGAAGGCCCAATAAGGTTAATACCCTTACTTTGATCTCTGTCAAAGCGTACCAGCAAGAATTAATTTACATTTCAGATGAAAAAGGTTGACAGCATGAAAAGGCATCTTGTTTCTGGTACGTGAATGTGCTGTAATAGATCGGGAATTCTGAAAGGAAGTTCTGAGGAAGCTAAAGGGATAAGCCGAGCGGCTGCTTTTATTGGGAAAGAGATGAAAGGAAAACAAATTTCAATATGTGCTGTTCTGTAAAAACATGTAAGCCAAATGCTTCCTAAATTTCAAGGCCTGCTTGAAGGCTGAGGATGGGGGAGGGAGAGGAGAGAGGAGAGGGAAGTGCATTTATTTTAATTATACGGTTTTGCTAATGTCTGGATGACAAATGCAAACAATATATCTCTCTGTCTGAAATGATTCATTTAAAAAAAAAAAAGCAAAGGTGATCATACTCCTTTTTACTGACAAGCTGCCTTGAAATACACACTAACATTATAAGATGTGCAGGGAAGGCAGAGATTTGGGCTTGCTTTTGTTCCCACGTCACTAAGCACTTTGGCAGTGTAATGTAAACAAGAGAAGGATGTCTGTGTATTTTAAAAGCAGGAAAATGGCCGCCATTCACAAGCATGAGCTTTGATTATAAACACTGAATGACTAACATGTAGAGAAGAAAAAATGGTGCAAGAAGAATTTTCAAATATGAGGTCCTAGATATAGATTTCCAAAGGCAGAGAGAAACATGCTGGGGACTATTATTATTATTATACCTCACTGAGTGCAGTGCCAAAGACAGGAGAAGCAGCCAGGGTAATTAATACAGAGGTGCATGTGTCACTCTTAACCCTACAGTCCTAGTGCTCATTTACCCAGACTGATCACTGAAACTGTCAAGTGCCAGGTTACAAAGGAAGGCAGTGTGTCTGTTGGTTGGAAGAGCACTAATAGCATTCCTCCAGCATTAGGCCCTGAGGACAGAAGTGTCCAAATACCAGGATATGTGTACAATCCCACTGCCTCTGCTCTGCCATGTTCAATGCAGCATCTCAGAGATGACAGGAAGGAACAAAGCTCTGAATCTCTTCCATGTGTGTAAACAGCAGAATCAGTTGCATTTTCTAAAGCATTGGTAATATGCATGGACCTCCTACATGCCTAAGAAAGCTAGCTGAATAAAATTCTAAGGCCAAGTATCCCCTACAGCCTCTAAGTAATATTGCTACACACCAGCTTCCAATGAAATCTGAGATAACTCTCCTCTTAAAAACTGTTAATAGTGGGAAAGTGAAGGGTCAACCATTTCACTTTCTTTTTTATGACAAAATGCCGTCGTAAAAGTCAGGAAATCCTAGTGCAGGTATGGACAAGCATAAATTTAGTGAATACTCCAGAAAGCAGTTGCAAGTGGTTCTTTAAAATCTGGTCATGAATAAAACAAATGACAACACAAAGGAGAGGAAGAAGGGGAGAGAACACTCATGCAGTTCCTCAGTGCTTGCAGTAATAGGGGAAAAAAAATCTCCTTAACTGTTCTCCATATAATATAATGATCTGCATTTAACACTAGAGCTATAGTTTATGATTATACATAACAGTATGCACACTAAGCTATAAATTACTATTTTAACCTAATGATAATCTGTTCCTTTCTGTAACCAGATTGGTATTCTTCTGTTTTCTGCTCAAAGTCATTCTGAAGCTTATTTTCAGAGTAGGAAACTTAAAAGAAAAAAAAAGTTGCATTTAGTGGGAATGGCTTACGAAGAGAACAAAGCAAAGGAATATTTGTAACTACTCCATTTCAGATTGATTTTAGGTTATATGACACAAAATAGAGAGGTTACAAAGCTTAAGGACCTATGATAGCAGAGGCAGCTGGTAAAATAAAGGTGGTGCCATGATTTATCTGTAAACACATTAGCTACAGCTCATTTTTGATCAGGTATAGTCTCTCACCTGGGGTTGGACAGAAAAGGTGTGTTACACTGCATCATATGGGGGCTGCTTCACTCTGGCAGCATGTGAAAACATCACTGAGTTTGCAGCAGTGGTTCTTAGATTTCTATGCCATATGGTACCCTGCTCTCTACTAGAGACCTGCACAGCCCTATGGGCCTGTTCCTCCAACAATCTCTTTAAAGTTCATTCAAATTCATATTGATACAGCAGCATAGGAGTCTGGCAGAGAGTCAGGGATTGGCCAAAGCTAGCAAACTCAGCAGGCAATTGAAAGGGAAACTTGGCTATCTGCCAAGATCGGTACTTGACAAAGAGAGAAATGCATGTCCAGTGCCTCCAATCCACACTTACAGTCAAACAAATTCAGTACTTCATTCCAGCTCTGCACAAGACTGAGTCAGACTGATTGTGCTGAGAAGAATCTTAAAGAATTAACAGCTTTTATTTGGTATGTTCCAGAAAGGTACTCAGAAAAATCTCAGAAAAAGTGTCATAACTGTCACAGATGTCATTTGATAGTGAAGAACAAGTGACGAGAAGCAATGCTTTTGACAGATTTCGTTTGAACTGTACGTATTTCTCTTTGTTATAAACACTGACACGTGAAATCACCCACAGGCAGAATAGGTATTGGGAACTAAAATAATGTTTTAATTACCTGCTTGAATATGTATAGCAGCATTATTTCTTCTGTTCCTTATTTCCTTGTACTTCCTGCGAGCTTCATATCCTCTCCAAGCTAAAAATACAAAACCATGTGCTGGAAATTACATTTATTTAAGGAAGTGCTACAGAGTCTACAGAGTTAGAGATGTGCTGAAACTTTCATCCCTCCTGCCACAACCACTCCAGCCCCCACCTCCAGCACCTCCTCCTCACCCACCCACATGTTGAACTCTGAGTTCATGACTGTAGTACTCTCATCCCTGCAACTTCAAACACTGCTTTACTCGTCCAAATTTTAATTGTCACCATGTGCTCACTGATGTCCTAATCCAAAAGGCAAAGGTGCATAATAATTGTGCATCATCAGTCAGCACAAGAACTCCCCTTCTCACACAACTTCCCAAATTTGATATAAAAAAGCCTGCTAGATTACTGGCAATCAGCCTTTTGGGCCCACCCCATAACTTATGTTATCTGTAAGTATGGTGCACGTAAGAAGGCAAAGGGAGAAAAGAGGGAGGAGAGCCAAGATACTGCATGTATGTGCTGCAAGCTAGTGTAGACACACCTAACAATATTTTCCATTTATGTACAGGCATCACATCCAAAATATTAAAATATTTTAAATAATTACATTACTGAAAGCTAAGATAACACCCTAGAAGTAAATCAGTAATATTTTCATCAATTAGCTGGAGAGAAAAGTACCTCCTGTTATTTTGATTTCATATAAACTATTATCAATGAATAAATATTATACACATAATTTAACATCTTGAAATGCCAAATTACTCAGTGAAGTAGGAAATGTGAATATTTACCTGACTGTATGGTAACAGCACTATTTTCTCTTTTTTCTTTGGCTTTCTTGTATCTTCTTGCTCCAAGCCATCCCTTGATATAAGCCTGCATGACCACCACCCTCCCTATAACTTCTCGCAGGAACAAATTTAACTGCTCTATATGGTAATACTTTAGAAAAACCTGAAATGGAACAACAAATTCAGTATTATACACAGGTAGCAACACAACCGATTGTATTTTGCCTTTTTGGAAGCCTTGTATTAGCCTACTTCCGAGCACTTTTTTTGGGAAAGCTCATAAAATACTAGCTGCTGTTTTTTTGTTTTTTTTTTTAGCAATTTTGTGAATTAAATAACTTGCTTTCAGTGTGCTGAGGGAGCTTCATTATTCCATTGAATACGATCACTTATTCAAAAAAAAAAAATAAACCACTTATTTTTGCCCTTAAGAAAGTAAAAAGTAAACTGGTGAGAGAGAAGCTTTCACGTATCAATAGTTTTAAAACGCAGACTTCCTTGACAGTTGGGGGATAAATCTTGGACTACATTTGTTTTAGACAATACTGTCTAACAACACTGCTTTAAGAGGCAAATACTACGGGTAGTTACACACACTTTATCTCTTTGTTTTTCCTTTGTGCACAATCAAACAACTCAGGATACAACATAACTTTCTTTTCACAGAAGTCAGCCAGACCATTTTAAGCCACGATCAAAGGCTCTTCTATCAAAGAACCAGAAAAATCTCATCTGAAACTCCACAGATAATGTACTAACCAGACCCTCAGAACAGGCCAGAGTGTAAAGTTTCAGTCATGTCATGATTAATAGAAGGATCTTCAAGACACTATCACAGCAGGCACTGACAGATGTACCATCTTTATCAAGGCAGCCACGTGCAGAGTGCATTTTGGGGAGGTACCCAATGCATCTTTTCTCCGGTAGCACAAACTCATCTGGATTGGAAAGGCCCCTCTGTAACCTAGAAGGCTAACTAACTGGAACAAATTCCTTGCTCTCTTGTTAATTCACTCAATACTTTGCAAAACACTGTTAGATAAGCTTCGCTACAGGGACGCTATCCTGGAGAAAACATTAGCATTCTCTACCTTAGTTTTTCCAAGAATCCAGTTTTCTAGTTTAGCTTTCTCCAAAATGGTCAGACAGTTTTCTCTGCTGCCAAGGGGAGACTCATGTGCCTTGAAAGCAAGGTAGTAATACCTACAAAGCAAAATGACAAAGAAAAAGTTGACTTGGTAACAAAACATACTTCCACTGCTACTCTGTAGCTCAGAGATAAAACTCCAGAATTAACGGAAATATTTCTAAGATATATTATTTGTGACCTGAAGTCTGTTTCTCATGAAAAATGACCTTAAAGTCTATTTCATCAGTAGAATCTTGCAGTATGTTAGTGCATAATCAATGAATACACAGATGTTATGATTATGAAATATACCAGAGAGTTTGGCTAAACAGGTCAATATACCAAAAGAGAATAGATAGAGTGGTTGCTCATGTCCTGGGCTTGCTGAAAAATTCCAAAGGAGGAATCTCCAGAAGAGATCCTTCCCCAGTGGCAGTCAGCTCCTAAATGGGTCTAGAAGAGGTGCAGCCAAGCTCCGCCCCTTCCTGCAGCACAGGTAAATTGCCTTCACCTGTGCTCCGTGGCTGACTCAGTGCTCACCTCAGATGATCAATAAGAGGTTCAGGCCGTGATTCAGCAGTTCCCATACAGTTAGCTACTGGTATTGGCCATTTTTCACAAAGAAGTATAAGTGGCCTTGATATTAATTGGGAAACAGGGATCCACATAAGAAGACCAATGACTCTTGAGTTTGTAACAAGACTACCCTGTCAACAGCACCTAAGTAATATTCATTTTCAGTATTTCAAACAGAAAGACTGCAGATTCTCAGTCTGTGAAGAAAAAGGCCAGCACTAGTACGGCAGGCAGCACACAGTCTGTATCAGTGATACTGACTGATCATATATGCTGAGAGGCTGCTACCATGTGCAAAGAATAAAGATAGTTTACAGGAAAAACAATTCTCATATCAATCTTAATTTACAGACAGCAGGATGTTCAGACTGCTTGACATCTGAATTTCATGTTTCCGGGAAAAGGTCGTATATATGCACAATTAAAACAACTGGCACTGCTATCTTATTGGCAAGGATCGTATTAGCGCTGGTAGTTAAACAAAACTAGTAGCTATTTTAAAGAGAAAAAGAAAGTGAACTACTCTTCATTTAAATTAAACCATTTTTGATAGGCACAAGGATTTCTATGGTTATGTAAGTCTTTAGGCATTTTGCCTTTTTTCTGTTTGATTGGGATAATCAGTCAATGGGAATTATTATGATAACTCCAGTGGCCTTCAGATCAGGCCCATAGTAAACAACCTTGACTTTCGTTTTGTCTGTGATCCCGAAAAGAGCAGCTTGAGAATTATGTGAAATAAAATTACGGTGCAAAAAGATAAAAAGATAACAAAAAAGAGATGCATACTTGTTTGAACTGAATAGACATGAGAAATGACTGTAACAAGCCGTAGTTGTAAAGCCACCATTTGTTCATGAAGAACAGTTTTATAGTATTTGAGTAACTCTATTTGCAAACAATCATGTTACATAACAGCAAGAACACTGGCTAGCTAGTTTACAAGATCAAGGTTATTTTAGCACAAGTACACAGTTAGATAGTAGCAACTGCCACCTCACCTCTCATTTATGAACCATCTGAACCATCATGTTTCTTCTTTAAGTTTCACTTCTGCAGGAGCTACTCTGTTTACATTGCTCTTGAAAGGAATTGGCAGGTTCAGCAAACTAATCTCCTAATTACTAGAATGGGGAAGAACCATCACATAGTCCTTAGAATAAAGAAAGGAATCTGACTAGTGAATCTCACAGATTCCTCTTGTAGCCACATAAAGGCAAGAAAAAATTCTACCTCATACTGAAAAAAAAAAAAAATACTGAGAAACAATTATAAAGAATGGAACAGTGCAATTTTGTTGTTTTTTTTTTTTTTTTTTTTTTTTTATATCAGGGGAATATGATTTTCAAATATTAGCTCCAGTTAATCTCTAGAGATTAGCTCCAGTTGTCACAAGAAAGAAAAAAGAACCACTAAAATAGTCAATAAAGATCAAAGGGGAACCAAATGATGTCTGAAGGCACTGGAATCTGTCCTGAACTGGAGAGATAGATATTCACCAACTGGAGACACTGCCCACTCTGAATAATGATAAGAGATTATGTGTTACTGAGTTAAGGTTTTTTAATGTAGTCATTTTATCAGTAAGATGGTATTGCAAATTATTTAGCCAAGTCTTTCAAAGTGCCAACAGTCATGGCATTTAGCAGGTACGGAGAAACGTTACAGATTTAAAAGAAAAAATGCCCATTTCCTCTACTTTACTACTAAACTTAATGATACATGATTTCACAAGACAGCATTCTGACTTGCACTGATAGAACTCAGATATAAAATATACATATCCCAAACAATTTGTCATAGTTTGCAGTTTCAACATGCGCTTGACAGACGTGTCAGAGAAGTTGCATCAGTAGGAAATTGCTGATTGCTACATAAACTAGTTCAGATTAGTCTTGGCATTTATACATATGTGTAACTTAAGTGGCTTGTTTCTTTTCCTAGAGGGAAGGAAACCTTCAAGTCTATGCTATTAGCTTTTTGCATGTTCACATGTCTTTTAAGACATGTAGCTGGGAATTTTAAAATCATTGAACAATATTTAGATAGCACAGGCGCAATAAAATAGTCGGAGAACTCCACAATTTTTAAATCTTACAATCTTATCAGTGACAAGCAAATGCTTTGTTTTCTAACACTGCCTGTTTTCATGCCTAAGTCACTAACTACAAACACACAAGTAATTTGATTTGTGCTTAGGATAACTGTATCACAACACAGCATGTGCCATGTAGGGTCATCTAATTTATAAAATTTAAGATCTTTGTAAGGCAACAAAACAAGTGCAGTATTTTGGAGGAAGATAAAATGTTTCACCTTAATACATCTGGTGAAAGTTTGCAAATATTATACATGGTGAAATGGTAGTGAAAAGCCTAGTTGTGCAGCCAAAGCTTTGGGCAACATACAATTACAACTCTGTTCATTTTGATTTATTGGCCTAAGAATGTCTCTATCATACTTACATTCTGCTGTACAGAGATCACAAAAAGAGCAAACTCTATTTACATGATTTTATCAAGGAAAGAAACTAAATCCTTAAATGCAGAAATGTAGGGCTAGAAATCACACGCACTTCCACATGAGAATAAGGATTCACAACTTAGTTTTTTTATCTGCATATTTGCTTTTGTTCTAGCAGACAATGCAGCAGTCCAAAACACTTTGTCTATATTAAGCCAATACTTTTATTTCTGTTTTTTAAAATTAAGTTTATAATTTTTCATTCGTTGTAACATAGGCATGGAAGGTCTTAATGAGCAGTGAGAAATTCAGGACTTCTGAAAAACAAAACCAACAGGTAATTTAATTGTAGCAGACACTACTTCCATATTCAGACATTCAAAATATTTTGTCTTAAATGCACAAAAATACTCATGGAGTATTCCACATATGCTGTGGAATCTTCTACCTTGAAGTATTTTGAATTGGAAATGAAGGAACAGTTTTACCCTCTGTTTTGGAAATAAATACAAGACTGAAAGAAAGACTTAAATAGACAAGAAAGAACAATAGTCTCGCTCCCAGGGCAGCTTGCTAAACTGGCTGTAGGTTAAAGTAATGCTGTGCCTGGTCTATACATAAGGTACCATCTAAGTGGGATCTTTGCACTACTTCACTGCATTTAAATAGAATAAGAACCATAAAGGCTATTACAAACCATTTTGCATGAGACTGGAGACATACTCCAGTATGTTGGTAAGATTTTCTTCTTTGGATGCAAATGGTTACTCTTACTAACACTACTGAAGATCTGAGTGATGACAGAAAAATGATCACCTAGGCTGAAATTAAGAAACTGTAGCATTCCCATGTAACTGGTACTACTGTTTTAAGTACAACATGGTTTTATTTGTTTTGAAATAAAGACAGTAAATTCCTAAGTGCCATACAGATGCAAAACCACATTTCTTTTAAATTATCCATCCTGCTTGAACATTTCCTACCTACATACACTCAACTATAGGTATCCTTAAAGCATTTGACTGATCACATTGTCAGCAGCAGTGAGTAAAAGAGAAATAATTTCACCTCAAAAGAACTGATTTCTCAGCAGATGAAACCTGTTTGAAATTATACATTTCTTAACCATTGGTTCTTATATTGCTCTACAAAGGATCCTGCATGGATGTTAATATTCTCATGCAAAACATATATTAGAGCAGGATTAACTTGGACTTAAGAGTAATTAGAGACAAAAGGAAGTTCATTAGAAGTTGAATTTATCCCCAGATGAACAAATACAAAGCTGGGACATGCATAGTTAAAGACATCCGAGTGTACTGAGACACAGAAAACATCAGATTGTTGCTGTGTGTGAATTGTCTGACTTATGTAAGGTTTTACCTTAGACAAACAGATTGTAAATGATTCAGTTTCTCTCCTCTCCAATCCTTAGGGCTGAACTGTGGAAAAGATCAATAAATAGCACTTAAACAGCACCATTAACTATTATAACAGTGCCTCTTACCAAAATTCCCTTTGCAATCCAGGCCTAAAGGCTCTGTAAGTTCTACACACCAAGGTAACAATTAACACTTTTTGTCTTTAAAAAGAACATTTGTATTAAAATATTCTGGCCTGAGGTGGAGAATGGGCGATGACATATGAAAACCTTGAGGTGTGAGAAGGAGAAAATCTCTAACTATACCCCCAGCTACAAAAGGCCTATTCTCAGTATCCAAAAAATGCTTGTTTCTTCTCAGGCCTAGAAATGGAAAGTTAAAATACAAACAAAAGAACCGTCATGGTTTTGAGCACAGAAAGAGCCTGTAGATAACTTTCAAGAATTCCCAGCTTGTATTTGTTGCATCTTACCTCTTTTAGAGGCTTCCCCAGTAAATTGTATAGAACTGATTACATTGGACTCTGCAGTGAGAGTATGAATCGAAAAATGTAACAGAAATGTAAGCAAAAAAAATATCCCAGAGACTCTTAAGAAACATCTACAAAAATTTTCAGTAGAAAATACCTAAAGCATACTGTCAATCATCAGATAACCATAGAATCACAGAAATACTCCCTAAAAAAGCATATTTTGGTCCATTCTGTATTTATAACTTGTAAGGGATTATCAGACTTTTCACTCGCAGAGATTTCAAGCCTCTTTCATCCTGCAACTGTTTACCAGCATTCTGTGGATGTGAAGAGTATAGAAATAAGATGTGGAAAATACAGTAGTAGTACATGAAGTGTAAAGTGTATGCAGATCTGGTGAAATCTTAAATCCATTGAAAGAAACAACAGACACTTCCATGGCTTATAGAAAATTAAAATAAGGTGAATGGCAATGTTTTTTTCTCTAGAATTCACTTGAGAGTTTTGGTACAAAGCAGACTCAGTGTTAAAAGTGAGAATGCAGTAAGAATGCACTATTTTAACGGTGAGTATTATTTTCTGTCTAGCAAGTCAGTTGACTTCTAATTTAATACAGGGCTTCCCTTATTATGAATAATAAACAAGCCTATCACCACTGGCAGAAGAAATGTCACACTGAGAATTTAGAGACTGAGTTGGTGTCAGGAGTACCAACAGAGACCTTATGCAAATTTACACTGAAAATTCTTTTAGAAAAAGAACCAATCATATTGGGATCATTGTTACAGAAATATTACTGGTATTGCCATGAGTGTATGTTCTGAACGACATTATCTGTCTATTAAAGAGGAGGTAGCACTCATAGGAAAACCACATTCTTCATTCTAACACAGTACAAAGAACTTTGATGCAGAACATAAACTGTTAGAGAAGTGAAAAGAAAAAAATATATAATCCTTACATGAAATTTATACAAAACTTCTCAACACATTCCTATGTGCTTATGAGGCATCTGAAGCCTGACACCATTTAGCACCATGAGACTCTCAAGTCTCTTATATTTCAAAACATGATATAGCATATGCTGCATTACACAGAAAGTGTATACAGGATGGGTATATGCAGTAATGACACGCCTGCAGATCACATCAGAGACCTAGGCACTGGAATATAGGAAGTAGTGTCTCATCTAATGGGAATTTCAATGTATGTCCCTTTCCTTAGCTGCTGTGCAGTGCATGGTCACTATGCAGACCTGCAAGCCAGGCCCACCTTGCTGCCTGATCACCTTAATAATCTGTATCTGAAGCCGGGGATCACAGGCTGAGAAAGGGACCACAGAGCTCCACAGAAAATGTGTAAGACAGACTCATGACAATATGGGATGTGAAACACAGCAAATGCAGATGAACTGCTGAAAACTTGATAGGTTCACAGTGTTTACAAGGGTTGTACATTAGATTTCACTACTTTAATTAAAATAATCTCTTTGTTTATACATGTGAAACACATGATTCTATCTTTGGCTACAGTACCATTGTATGAATGAGTTACAATTAAGACCGCCCCTCACCATCTGCTTTTCATCCCAATAAACTAAATTCCAGGTTTGCAACCTGTGAAATAATCTGCTCTGCATGAAAACAGAAGATGGTAAAGAGTAACATTACAAAGCTTTATCTTTTGTTTACCTCCCACCTGATAAACTCTGAATGGTTCTGTTCCCTGCCTTTGACTGTTTTGTCCTCATATTTCCTGCTAAGAGTTTACAAAACAGCATTATTGAACAGGCAGACAAGAAGCACACCTATTTGTTTAATAACATCAAGGGAGAAAAAGTTGCTGGCTCATCCGTTTTGTTGTTAAGTTGTTCAAAAGGATCAAAATACCAATTAACTTGCTTGCTTAGAAAATCTTTGATATCCTCAGATTTACTGACATTTTGAAAGTCTTGTTCATACTTGCCTAATGTCTTTTTGATTATGAACAAAGAAGTGCCAATCTGTTTAGCATTTGACCTGTTTTCTCAAACAAAATTTTTATGTATTCAACTACTTAGTTCCTAAAAACACTTGACTAGTCATGGCTGTAAGTGGAAGAAAAATATTTTCTGTTCCACTGCTATCTTTTTTATACAATTGTTCATTATTTTTTTTCAAGAATATAATGGAATAGAATTTAAAAATGATGCATAAAAACTGAACAAAGGAGAAAGAATCACCTGCCTCACTTCATATTCGGGACTCAGTCGAAAGCCTTCTATGCTGGTGGGCAAACTGTAAATCACCTCACACGTCTCTTACATTGTCTTTCTTTTCTGAATGAATTACACCAGATTGGACTTAAAACTTGGGGACTATTAAAAAAAATGTTAAATACAAATTGCCCTTATCTGTAGGAATGGAAAACTACAGTTACCATCGCTTTTATTATCATTAATTTTCAAGGTTGTACTCAGGTTCCATGCATTTTTAAACGAGAAAAATCTATTGATAGGAAGAGGCCTAATTTCTTCTCAATTTACATCAATTTCAGTGAAATTCATCTTTGTTCACTTGTGTGCAGATAAAATTTCAGGCTCTTCGTGATATTGCAAAACATGTAAGCGATCAGAAAAATTAATCTTTTTGTTCAACCTGTCTGCTTTAAAATTTTATGGCCTTACTAACATTAGTCACATAACACACAAATTAAAGGTGGAGGGAAATTGTGTCTGAAAATTAAATGGCTTTGATGGACAAATGAACATTTTAGTTATCCTTCCTGGGATGCAAATCTCTTATGTATTTCTGTTACATATTCCTTTAGAATTCCTTTCAGAATGAATTGACTAAACTACAGTTTATTGGTCTACATCTGTCTGTGCAAGAATCACAGACACACAAACTCAAATGACTTATCTACAAACATGTACATTTTCTTAGTCCTTGTGTTTTTGGAAAGGCCTATGGAACTCTGTCTTCTTTCTCAAAAACATAATCAGCTACTTCCATCTAGTATCATATGATTTTTTATTTTTTTTTATTTTTCAGTAGATTCATTAACTCTGTACTCTCTGATCTCCAGTACAGGAGATAGCAATAAAGAGTCAATACAGCCATTTGCTACTTGTTCTTACTTTTAAGGAATCAACTGCTTAAAGGTACTGTTTCTATTTCATTATTGAATTATCAGCCTTACAGACTAGAAAAAAGTAAATAATACATAGAAAAACAAAAAAGGAATATAAGAAATAATAAAGGAAGCCATATAAAGACTGTATAAACAGATTATCACTATAAAGACAATTGCATTTCCTAAATCAGATTTGTAACTTCTTGATACACAGATCCTTTCAGTAATCAAAATGGTATATAGTAGCCATGATAAGGGTTCAGGTCAACAGATATCTGATTATAATTCATGGTGAATCCAAGACACATGACCACAAGGAAGCTGTTAGGAGGAATATTCTAATTTGATAACTTTTGTGCACACAAATGTTTTTTTCCAGTTACACCTGCATTTTACATCTCTTCATTATTAGGCTAATGTCAGTGTACAGAAATAAGCTATTGACGTTCCTACTAACTAGTCTTGCTCAAGAGCAGAAACGGTTTTTTCAGTTGAATTTTCATACTTCCTGAGTTGATAAAAAAAAATAAGGAAAGGTTGAGGGGGAAGATAAAAAGAGATGAAAGGTTTGTAAAACGGGGAAAAGGAGAGGCAAACATTCTTATATGTTATGTCTCTACATGGGAACTACCCCAGTAGTGACACAGATTTGAAATTATGCCTTACATTTTTCCAGTATGACTTCTCTACACACTAAAGGATGTAATAAATCAAATCTGGTATGTTATTCACAAAAATATTTTAAACCATTTTTTACAATGTTTTATGTTTGAAATCTGTATTGATGAAAAATTCTCTGGACTATTTCTAGCTTTTTTTTTTCCGATTTAATTAATGTTTTCAAGCTTGAAATTAATACTCTTCTCAGACAGTTGCTCTTTTTTTTTAACAGTTCTTTTATATCAGCTCTTTCTTAAGCATGTGGATCTTATTAAAATGAAGACCGACTGACCTTTCAAATCCTTGTATTGTCTGAGCATGATACCTATGCACATGTTGCTACTGCTGCTGAAATCATAGGGATGGTCTTGCTACTGAATACTAACTGCTCACTGCAGTTCTCCCTCTCCTTCTCTTGATCACTCTTGTAGCTTTTATCTGATAGTTACTGCTTTTATTAGAATAACACAGACCATACATGTACAAACCAATATTTTTAGAACTTCTCATGCTTAAAGATACAATATATTTTGTTGAATGGAACTTTAAAATGACAGTCATGCTACTGAAGTCTTACCTTTTCACAAACTCTTCAAAAAGGATGCGATGAGAATATCCTTTTTGACGTATTTTGACAGTTTCCAGAATTCCAGTGTATCGTAGCTGCAGTAGAACTCTCTCATGAGAAAATGTTAGTGCTTCTCGATTATCATTAGGTTTAATGCAGCGGATAAAGTGAGGCTGTCCAACAACCATTTTGGATAGAAGATCCATGAGGGAATACTATTGAAGAAAAAAGAGATACAGAGACTTGCCTAAAAAAACTGCAATTCAGTTATATAAGTAGGAAATATATTTTGTAAACAGTATGGAATGATTGATTATATGTTAATTTGTTGTGATAATGCTAATCGGTATTCAAGTTTTCATTTTTTTCAGCTTTTGGCTGAAATCCAGAATCTATTAAAAGCTTTTAACTGTCAAACACAAATTATGATTCTAGTTCTACTTACCCTATTCTCTTCATCTCTCCTTATAGTAGTTCTTGTAGTTTAAGAAAGCTCATATTCAAATTTTGAATTGAAAAGTGTCCTAAATATAACTCTGTTATAGGCACATTTGATCAAACAGTTATCCCCAAGAGGAGAATAAGCTTACTGTAAAACAATCATGTAAGAATCACAGAAAACCATGGAGATGGGGTTGAATGAAGCTACTGGTTTAGTACTTTGCACACAGAGAGCACTGAATGTATCCATATCATTTCAGGCACATCTCTGACGAATCTTTTCGTCAGAATCACTGCTACAGACTGCATATTCTCCCAGAGTAATCCACTGAAGTGCCACATTATTGTAACTACTCAGAATGTTCTTAGCATCTAGCCTGAATATTCCTGCTGAAACATGGGGCCATTACTTCTTGCCCTAACCAACCCAAACATTGAATACAGTTTATTTCATTGCATGAAAATATTTCTGCTTCATTCTTACCTCGTTATCCCACTGATCAGAATTTGCTGCAAGTACACTCAATCTCAATGCTGCATACAATTCCAAGCTGACTGGATCTGAATGTGGTCACTTGGTTGTAGGCTGCATTCAGACAGCAGATGAGTATTTTCAGACTCACTATCTATTTATTTTTTTAGTCTCTTACTTTCCTCTTTGATCTAACAACTCCACATACATTTCAGAAATACCTGTTGTTCTTACAATCAGTATATTTGTTTACAGTTTAACTGCTGTACCCTAAAATAGGAAGCCATAGTTTGTCGCTTCATGTTAGTTGTTTCCTCAGGGTGTCGCATAACTTCCATTGTGTCAACCTAGAAGACAAAACTCAAATGTTAGATCTGTTGCAGAAACACTGCACAGCCACCCCACCTCAATCACAAGAGCTAGGCTTGATGTTTCTTCTGGTCATTCTCTCAGGTGACCACATTCCTAGCATCTTTGGGAAAGGTACACAATGAGGAGTCTGCCAGCCAGCAGTGATTCTCTCATTAGTACTTTTCACTGTAAAGTTGTTTGTGAGCTACATCATGGCTGTCATAGGCAGCAGTATCACTTTTTTATTTAATTATATGCCTTGAGACAGGTCAAGCAGTAAGCACACCACATTAAAAAAACTGCATGTCATGTCTCCTTTTCTCTTTAAATTATGCCTCAATACATATTTCATCAAGGAAGCAGCTACGTTCTTACTCTGTTTAACATCTTGGTGCTCTCAGTCGCTACACGAGACATGCTTGTGAGTGCAACTATTACACAAGGTAGCTAGTGACAGAGGATGGAACAACACAAGCAATTTACAGATTCCTGCTTGGCCTCTGGAAATAGTGTGGACATTTACTTGACTTCAGTACTATCAGCTCCTGTCTAAATAGCTTGATATCTTAAACTCATTCACAAAGCAAGAAACTGTATTTCACCTGTGTCTTCCTATATATTAGACCACTGTTGATGCCTTCATTTACTAGATCTTCCTAGACTGACACTTCTGATCGGGTTAGGTGACAATTTCATACTTTTTTCGTGACAGTATGTTGTTAGGCCAATGGAGCAGTTGTCAAGATGCAATACCTTATGAAGCCTTCCTTACTTTTATCATCATTGCAATGAACTCCATTGGGTCTTACTTTCTATATAATGTTACTATTTCTGTAATGACCTGGAATAAAATTATAAAAAAAACCTGCCTCGTTTTGCCTACACATGGAAAAATGTTCTCGCAACATAACAAGTGGCAAACAGAATAGGTAACCACAGAACATGCAAGTCTTTTCCTAACTACTGTTGTGTCTACTATTAATAACATTAAAATGCCATTTTGATGCCAAGGATTTCAGCAGTCTCACTCAGCTGAACTGCTGTTGCATCAAATATCACTTTTTCAGCATTTCTGTAGAGCTCACAAGGGTTATTTTTAGACAGTATACACGGACAGCAAACACATTGCTTCTTGTGTATTTTACTTATATTGTCAGTACAGCTGTTCTTATCAACATGAAACTAGAATTTATGAATGAGTATAACCATGGTTATCATCACAAGCAGATTGTGTTGCTGTACTGCAGCTCAACAAAATCAACCAGCATCCTGCTTGCATGGGGCATTAGCAACATTTTAGCATTCACTTGCTTTGTGGCAGTTTACCATCTGCTCTGACCAGGTGGCATTTGTATAAACCAGATAATGCCATTGTCAGCACCTGTGTTACACCTCCTGGACTTTGCTCCATATGATCATTTCCAAAGCTCACTGACTTAAGACCACTCTTCTGAACATTAACATAATTGCTGAAAGACTACAGTTTTCAATAAAGTAATTGATCTCTCTTACCTTCAGGAGATATTTAGGAGACTGCATGAAAAATACAAAGGAAATGAAGAGCTAAATAGTAATAGACCAAGAAAATGGATTTTGTATTGGAGAAGAAATCAAAAGAGAAAACTTGTGAAGACTAGATTCAGAATACAGATGGTGCAAAGGGAGACAGATTTCCACAAGGGTGACCACAACAATTTCAGCATGATTTTGCAATCTCTGATGCTCTTAGCCCTAAGTGGGGTGTATGCACTATTATGCATGAAGAAAAAAAGAGATGCAGTTGGACTTCAGTTTTAAGAACACTAACAGAAAACTCTGTAACATATCGAAGGATAAAAGCTTTATCAGCACAGATAACATCAAACACCTTAAGAGGTCATGTGAAAAATTAACAATCAGTGACCTAATCAGAATAGCAGGCATATCCATAGGGAAGATTTTGGGAATGCTTCAAAATCATCTTGGCAAGACAACTGTTGTTTGAGCTTTGGTATCTAAAGCTCTCGTAAAGGTCAGGAGAAGACAACAACATTACCAGTGAATACTGACAGTAAGCCCATAATAAATGGTAACATTTATTAGAATTTATTAGAATTGTCTGTTAGAAGACAGACAATCACAAAGAACACCAACAGCAAAAGTAAATTGTCTGAGGACTGTACTAAAGCCCAATTACCCATGAATTTGAGCTTCTAAATTCGATTCTTGGCTGTCTAGAAAAGCATAGACACCAAATCAGAATTTTGTTGGAGTTTCAGTACTCATGAACTCTTAGTCACAATTTAATAACTACTGTCAAATGAAGGTTGAGCTAATACTCCACCTTTTGGGCAATACAACAACATTAGCATCCCCTTTTCACAGCTGCTTATTGTCACCAAACTGGTAGAATCTTATGATGCTTAAGACTGTAATTCTGTCAAATATTGTTTACTACAGCCTGCTTGGTTCAAAATGGGTTTTGTTTTGGTTTTGTGGAGGGAAGGGAGTAGGCACTCAGAAAAACAGATGGCCAAAAGCATTTACAGAGAACAATGTAATACAACTTTTTTTCCCAGAAAAACAGGCTAAAACCAGTGCTGTGAGATTCCTTTTCTTTGGAGATGTAAACTCAGATCTGTGCAATCTGTAAGGGCTAGGGCCAACTTCAAAATCTTACTGACAAGAGAGATTTGAAAGTATTTTTTTTGTAAATTCTGAAGCTGGGGAGATTTTGCTGTAAGAATTTTAGAAGTTTTCTCCCCAGTTAACTTATAACATTGAGAGTATGTAAAGTTATGCAGATTTATGGGAGGGCAATAATCACACATACAGCAGACAATAGACATTATCATAACTGATAGAACATAAGAATATCATGATATCATTCTGTATTTTGAATTACTAGCTGCTTTTTTAAAACTAAAATGAAAAATATTCCAACTTATGTCACATTTTTACATGATAATAGTCATGGTGTACAATATACATTTATGTGATTACAGCTGAAATGAAAAACAGTTACCTTAAAAAGACAAACTGTTCTATCACTAAAAAAAGAAATAATAAATGAAATAAACTGCTTATAGTAGTTTTGAAGCAGTATTACAAGAATAATTTATGGTATTATGTCGTCTTATGAGGTCACTGCAAATTATAATTTTCACATGTTGACCACACCTGCTGTTAGCATGGTATGAAAGATGATAAAACCAATAAATACACTAAGCAAAAAAGCTCATAAATTAAAATATAAACTCAAATTTCCACACTTCAAAATACAATTATTATGCTTTTGGAATCATTTTATTAACTGTAAAATAGTAATTTAAAATATTTTTTTCTTGAAGTTGTCATAATTTCATAAAAATTTTAATTAAAGTGGTGTTTTTTTTCAGCTAAAAAATTGTAACAGTTAATGTTTTCTGGATAGTGTTGCATGTATTACGGATGTATTTTAGTTCCTTCTCTAAAAATGTGAAGGGCAAATGGTCTTAAACACTACTTAGTACGACTGAATGTGTTTATCAAAGCTTTAAAAGAGAAGTGCTGTATTTTATTCCAGCTGAAGCAATAAAATGCCTGCTTACAAAGCTTATGATGATATAGCTGGATGTGGAAGACAATGTTTGTATAATATTAAAAAAAATGGTAAGGCCATAATCTGTCCTTTAGGACTGAAAGTGTTTAAATCAGGAAGGAAATAAATCTCTTGAGTCCAAGTCTCTATTACAGGTACAGTAAAAGATACAGATGTCTGGGTGACTCATAAGAATTCTTGTATTTGAGCATGAGCTCCTTACGACAGGAGAGAATATAAAGAAGAAATGGAATGCACAAAACATAGTTCTACAGACTTGTGAGTAGCTGCTTTGATCAGTTACAACATTAAAAAAAAAAATTGTTTGCTTTGAGGTAAAACAAAAAAAAAGCAACCAACTGATCACATTTTAAGAAGACTAACTGAAGTCAGGAGGGAGCATGGATGTTATCAACTTGAGGTGCAAGAGTTTTCCTCACATACTAAAGTGAACTCAATTGGCTATTAACTGCAATAAAATCACCCCATTCTTTTGTAATTATGCCACATATTTTTATGGTAAAATCAAAAAGTGTTTATATTCCATGGTTCTTTTTACTTTATAAACAATAGCAGTTTTGCTAAGTGGTTCTTTTCTGGTCATTTGTCAGTTACAAAGGCCCTTTGGTTTTTGAACTTTAGGTTGAACAGAAGAGGAATGGATCATTGTTCTGTTTTGCCTTCTGTTTGATTAAACACACTAACCAAATTTTAGCTAATTAAATCTCTTTTTAGGCCAAAAATAGCCAGAAGAAAGTCTTGAACTCACTGAAATGAAATGTTGCCATCATTATCAGTATAACTGAGATTTCACTACAAATGTTTAAAGATTAGTCATTGGTAAATTGATTTTTCATTGGATTCCACAGAAAAGTCTTCAACAAAACTGGATACAATGCTCCCAGCTAAAGTATGTTTATTTCTGATATTAAGACATACTCATTTGGTAAGAGCTTCCACTATATACCTACATCAGCTAAGCATCATGCCCATAGTCTCACTGTAATATTTCATGAGAAACTACCCATCTTCAAGCAGAACACTACCAACCTTGATACGCCCAGCACTAAGCTGTGGAGGCAAAGACCTAGATGCTGCTGTCACTCTGGCTCTTGCCTGTGCCAAGTTACCTGTTCAAAAGAAAGAAATACATACTATAAAAATTGTTCAATAATCTTATCTGAGAAAACATGATATGGTTAAAAAAATCATACAATAGAAGTAAAAATAGCAGTTCCTACTACACTTCTTATATACCCTGCTCATTACCAACTTTGCAATGATGAGTGTGGGCATGACATGGAGTCCAGGGTTGATTTAAAAGAGAAGAAAAAGACACCAGTAAGGTGGCTCATTGCTGACCTCAACTACTGATCTGATGAAAACAACAACAGCACAGAAGTGTACAGATCAGTCAGTTGCAATCAATTTCTCTGTGACTCTTTCAGAAATTTAAAAGAGTAAAAGATAGCAGAAAGAGCCTTGTTTCCATAAAATCAGTGGATCCTGAAGTGTTTAGACATCATGTTAAGCTCACAAACTAAAGAAAGAGATGAGAAAATGATAAGATAGTATCTTTTCTTGACCTTTTGACATACAGCCTACTTAATCCCCAATCTTATTATCCCTTGGGGTTTTCAAAGACTGACTCAATTCCTCAGGCAAAAACATACTTGTGTGTCAACTGCAAAACGAGTGCCTTTTTAGTTGTACAGTATGATGTATCTTAAACTTTTTCCACCGTACTTGTAAAAGGTCAGTCATCATAAAATAGCTTTTCAAAATAAAGGCTCAGAGGAGAGAGGAAGTGATATGGGACTGTGCATATGCAAGACACTCTGTATATTTCAAAGTTTTAGCAAGTCTAGCACAAGATGTCCAAATGTTTTCTCTGGCTATATCTTCAGAGGCTAAACTGTGATTAATAGCATTGAAAGAACCCTTTGAAGCAGGATTGGTGACATCAAAGCCCTAATCCATGGGTGGCAGGATTTTTATAATGAGTGGGAAGCATTTTAACACATTTCAAAGGATTTACAGCATGAATAAACAATAGGCCTCTGCAGATGTACCACACACCTTTCAGAACCAGAACACATAAATAAGTGTCCATTTTAATTTAAATGTAAATAAAGTGTTAACACTTCTTTCAGATGCTAAGTGCCTTGTTTGCATCAACTCCAGTGTTTAGCTATTTGCTTCACAGAAAGCCAGTCACTCTAAACAGTCTTCGGTTTTGATAAACTATATATTACAGAACTAGTAGGGAAGCAGGATAGTGGAAAGAAAAAACAAGAACACTTAATTGCTGGTAGTTTTTTATACAGGAGAAGAGCACACACAAAGTGCACATAACACTGAAGGGAACTTTTGCTTGTCCCTGTAAGATTGGGAAATACCAATCTGCTGAGAAGAGTTTGGAGGCCAACCCTCAGAAACATAGCAATGACATTCTCTAGAGCAATTCAAACATTCTATATTCATTTTCAAAAGTATTTACCTCTTAAAATGCTGGAATTGTGATTGACACAGTGATGCAAAACTGCTATGTCATTTTCAGATTAAGAGTGTTGGTACCTGACAGTCTAAATCACAGTGCAGAATATCAGTAATGTCCATGATTTTGGAAAATGCTACAGTGTTCAGGTTAATGAGAACTACGATTTCATTCTGAACATCTTGTGTATGTATACAAATATGCATGCTTATAAATACTTGTGTTTTGAAAATGTTATATATGCATACATACAATCATGGTATACAAGGTGTACACATCTCTCTGTGGTTAAAATGAGGACTTTAATGTGGAAGTCATTGGTAAATTTATTTTTCTCTGTTCTAATTCTGATATTTTTATGTGTTCAAATTAGTTATTTTTGCCTTTTTATTATTACTAAAGCAGAAAGTCTGGAAAGGTTGTTTTTGGCTATGCTTAGGATCAGCAATTCAGGTTGTCTTTATGCTTGAAAGCACTGTACTGTAGAACTGATGACACTATGTGGGTTAAAACAGTAGATTTGGGAGAATTAACAAAACTGAATCAGATTGTTTGAAATGACAAATGTTAAAATTTTGTTGCATTTTCAACAAGTTACAAAATTCTAATAACTAATTAAAATTTAGAATCATCAAGATTTACCACACTCGGAGCTGACATTAGGTTAATTACTATTGATTACTAATATCTCCAAGCTCTCCCTGAGCTTTTCACGCAGAACTAAAACTACACTTAACATTTCTGATCTAGAAAAACAGGGAATTTTTTTAATTAATCACGTATATTTTGCACTTATGATTTCATTTTTCCTCTTGGCAAAAGTAAAGACTAAGCTAGGAATAAGACCAATACTTATTTATGAATTTTTTTCTGTTCTTATTTCATGTGTCAAATTATCTCCATTGTAATTGTTAACTACTCAATTGTAGCACAGTTTGAAAGCCAGAGAAAAAATGTTATCAGGGTTTTCTTTTCCAGATCAAACATAAAATGATGTTTCAGTAAAAGTTCATCTTAACTAGCTAATGTTCAGGAAAATGACTACCTGCAACTTGCCCAACCAATAAAACTAAGAACAAACGCGGCTTGAAAATTAGTTTACATACTAAGAGATTTTTACCCAGAATTAGAGTGATGTTTATAGTCAGTAAACATTCAGAGTACCTGTCCCTGCATTTGATTTTCATTTAAAAGGTCATTTATTATTTTACACACCAGAAATAGTAAAACGTTATTCCACTTTGTGAATAACATCAATATTTGAAGAACAAATATTTTTAGATAATATCATAGCCAGTTAAAAAAAGCTCCTTGCAAGGTTAAGCTGGTTAAAGGTTAAAAGACTGCACTGTGCCTGTCAGAATTCTGGCTTCACACACATTGTATGATCAGCACTTCAGACAAAACACAAGTGACAAGCTCATAGAGCTAAACGAAATACTACCCATGCTAGATCCAATGCCGAAAAAATGGACAAATTAAGAAACTTAAAACTCCCTCAGAATTTTCTGAGTTTTTTGTTTAGTTTTTAACTGGGACTGATCTTACTAATACGTACATGTTCAACTCTATTCACATGCATTTCCTTTTCAGTTTGGCTGGACTGCTTATCTGAACAATGAAGGCTCCTACCTGTGTGTCTGCAGTGCCAGAGACAAAGGTTTATGGGATTGATTTGTGTCAGTAGGGGAATCAGCCAGCCCCAACGTTTCTCTTTTTTCCCCGTCTGTATAATAAAGTTAGGAGCATCGTTAGTGCTTCATGAATTTTCAGTCATCAGAGTCTGCGAAAGGCTCCAAGAGCTTCCAACAGAAAGAAGCAGCAGTACAGAGTCTACCCAGTCACTGCTAAGCTCACTCTCTCTATACTGAAATAAACTTTGCCTTGAAACTGCAGAGGAAAACTCCTATTGCTTCAAATATATTCTCATTCCAGCTAGGTGAGAAAGACAGAGATGTCAAAGAACCATATCCCTTCCGCTACACAAGCCCAAGGAGGAGAAGTTCTGAAAGTATGTCAAGTATTTACATAGCACAGAATGAAGATGAGTTGCCTTTTTCAGGTTGGACTTTGGAAACACTCTCTAGATTTTAGAAAAGACAAGTCTGCATTCATGGATTCGCTCCTGCATCCCTAGCACTTACTATGTGATCTGGTAAAATTAGTGATTTCTCAAGCCATTGACTCTCCACACCAATCAGGAGAAGTTCACTCTCTGGCTGGAGGTTCTGATGTTGCTTAACATTTATTATTACTCCACTATTCTTAGGTGATGTTTTCTACAAGTAGTGTCAACCAAATATTACTAATATTAGCACTATAATTATAACTACATTTTGGTTATGCCTGCTATAGAACATTCTTCCCTTCCAAAGTAAAAGCATGCCAGGTAAGAATTACTGTATGCTTTGATACAACTTCTAGTTCGTGAAGTGCAAATGACTTACAGGGAGAGAACCGAGTGACAATGTCACCTTACAAGCTGTACAAGCTTGTAATATGGCACAAGCTGTACCATAGATACTACTATTATAGAGAGGGCACAGTACAAGCTCTTTTCTTATCCTCATATATTTTATTAATTTCATTCACGCTTTTGGTTCAGATAAAGAGGGGTTACTTGCAGATACAGTGTAATATGGTTGGAAATGCTACCATGCATTCATATTTCATTGACATTACTTCTAATCACTGCTAAGCACTTGCACTCCAGAAGAGGTGCAGAGTCAGACAATGTGAGACACACAGAGATTCTTCTCTGTCTTTCAGTACATTTCATCTAGCCTAAGGAAGTTGACCGCTTATCTTCATAATGCATTTTCATGTCCTACTACAGTAAGACTGAGCTTTTCTTGGCTTGCCTATAAGTGGATACATGTAATTTTTTTATTGGGTGATAATTTGAATCTGGTCACTGACTACCAAGACTATATTTTTGAGTTATAGAAGTGACTTAAGCTAACCTTGTGCAATAGAAAATTAAGAATCCATTTTTCTCTTATACTATATGTTTTACACAGGAATGTATTTATAAAAATACTATGCAGTATATTGATCAATACATAGACACTGCCACTGCTGCTTATTCTGAAAACAGAATTTCTTTATTTCCCATTTCAAATGAGTAATTAAAGAATAAGAAATGGTATTTCCAAAATTGGATCCATATTACAAAATAGAATCCAATAACCATGAAAATTTAGTAATAGCAAGGCCAGCCTAGGAATAACCTAACCAGAAGCAAAAAGATATTCAATTTTTTTGGCCATGATTGTTTGAAATGAAAAATCTAAGCCATAGTGAACTGACAGCTTCTGATCACAAATCTCAAATCTCACTGCTAGCATGAAGTGGACATAGATCATATTTACAGTTACTTAAAAACTTTAGATTGCTAGACTCTCTACTGCATACACTGCAGACACTTCAGTGGTCACTTCTCACTTCAATGAGGCAGCCACTGGCAAACACAACACAGTGTTTACTGCAGCAAATAAATCTGCTTGTAAGCATGATTCCTGTCTTGTTTAAATGTCATTTTAACACAGTAGGTTAGTAGGCTCCATGTAGAATGGGAGAGAATAAAGACACTCCTGACAGCAGCTGGGATGAAATGAAGGTCAAACTGCCTAC